CCAAGAAGCTGTTCTCTGAATGGAACAAAGGAATACTGTGTGTTTTAAAATCAGGAAAGATGTATGTGTCAGGGTTGCTTCCTTTCTTCATACCTTTTCAGTCTGTATGTTGAGCAAATAATTTGTGAATCCAGGCTCTATGAAGACTAATATAGCATCAGACTAAGGAGGAAAATTCATCAATAACTTGCCTTATGCAGATGACACAATGTTGCTCATTAAAAATGAGGAAAACCTGAAGCACTTGCTTCAGGAGATCAAAGACTACAGCCTTCGATATGGATTACCTCTCAATATCAAGAAAACAAAGGTCCTTACCACAGGACCAATAGGCAGCGTTATGGTAGATGGAGAAAGGATTGAAGTTGTCTGTGATTTTCTTACTTGAATCTACAGTCAACACCCTTGGTACCAGTAGTCAGAATGTATTGCTTTGAGCAAGTCTACTTTCAGGGACTTCTTCAAAATACTGAAGAGTGATGATGCATCTGATTCAGACCATGGTTTTTTCGGTCACTTGCTATGCATCTGAGAGCTGGACAATAAACATGGATGATAAAAGAAGAATTTATGCTTTTGAGTTGTGATGTTGGAGAATAGTACTGAATATCTCATGAACTGCCAAAAGAACAAACATGTATGTCTTGCAAAAGGTATAGCAAGAGTGCTCCTTGGAGGCAAGAATGGCAAAGCTTCATCTCTCAGTTCCTTAGAGAGGGATATCATGCTTGGAAAGGTGGAGGGTCCGTGAGATGGATTGACATGGTGACTGCAGCAATGGGCTCAAGTGTGATGGTGATGACAGCACAGGATAGAACAGGATTCAGATCTGTTTTTCATAGGGTCCCTGAGACATACTCAGCCAACAACACCACCACCACCTCTTTGTTATCAGATCTACTTATCAGTTATTTTATTAAAACTGAAAACTCTATTTTTTAGCTTTTCCTTTTGAAATTGGTTAGACTTAACCTAAAAGTCGCAAAAATAGTAGCATTCCTATTTACCTTTAACTCAAATAGTATGTTGCCAGCTCCCTTGCTTTCAAGTATCTTAGCAGCATAATAAAGCTTCAACTTTAGGTGTTTTAACTATTGAAAACATTTTAACTATTGAGAACATTTTGTTTTAGTTTAATTATTTGAGAACATTTAACTCCTTAAGCGCATATGCTTTATCATTCTCAGTTCTGTATAGTCATACTGTTATTTTTTCTGAATTACTCAAATAAATTGATGAAACACTTAGTGTGTATTTTCTAAAAGATGGACATTCTTCTTTATAATTGTCAAAATCAGGAAATTAACACTGATAGTGAACCAGGGAGCTCTGGCAACCTAGTAGGTAGAGAGTTGCACTGCCAACACAAAGGCAGATGGTTTGAATCCTCCAGCTTACTATGGGATTAAGATGTGCAGTCTCCCCTTATATCATTTACAACCTCTTTAAACTTGCTGGTGGGTCACCTATAAATCAGTTTTAATTCAGCATCGATGAGAAAGAGCTCTAACTAATATCTGTAGATCTTATGTGTATTTTACTAATTGGCCCATTAATATCTGTAAAAGAGACAACTTCTTCCCCTTGGTTTGGGATCTAATTTTGTACCGCACTTTGCATTTGGCTATCATGACTTCTTAGCTTTTAAAAAAAATATGGAATGGCTCCTGCCTCTTTATTTTTTTCTTTGATGGCCTTGACATTTTTAAGAGTATGGGCCCTATGTTTTGTATATTGTTATATGCCATCAAGTTACCTGTGACTCATATCTCTGAATCTTGCCCTGTCCTGAGCCAATCTCATTGACTCTGATACACCAACCCCCATTGCCCTAGTTAACT